TCAAGTCGTTTGCGACTCATAGCGACCCTATGTACAACAGCCCTAAACCGTGCTCTATCCCGTGCCAATTTAATTGCTGCATTGAAATAGATGAGGGAGAGTACTGTTTAGGAGAAATATATGATTAGGTATTATTTTCATGACAAGAGTGCAGAATAAAACTTGCATAGTGGAGTGCACTGGGAGGGGGGAGGGCATTGTATAACAATAATATATATATAACATTTATCAAAGAGAAGAAAACTGTTTGGGGGCAGGGAGGAAAGTGTGCAAGAACGAATGAATGGAAATTAAAAAAAATTTTAAAAAGGGAGCGCTGGTGGCCTACTGGGGAGCTCTGGTGGCCTAGTGGCAAGAAGCTGCACTGCAGTCCCAGAAGTACATGGTCCAAATCCACCAGATGCTCTGCCAGAGAAGGAGGGACAGTTTCCTCTTGTACAAGTCAGATCTGATTTGACAGTACACACACAAAAAATAATAAAATTATAAAAAATAAATAAAAAAAGTAGATCTCCAAATAAATAAACAAAAAAACACCCTTAACTGTAATATTAAGAAAATTACAACAATTATTTATTGTGGAAAACTTCAAAAGATGTACAGAAGTATAAAGTATACTTATCATCAACATAAACAATTACCATCTCATGGCCTATCTTCCAGCTACACATCCTCCCAAATAATTTACCCCAGATTGTTTTTAATCAAGTTCCCCATTTCATTACATTTCCTCCATAAACATTTAGAATATATTTATAAGTGATAGATTCAATTCATTGCTGTCAAGTCAGAACTGACTCATAGCTCCTCATCGAGTTAAATTTCAGAGGCTATAAGTCTTGGGAGGAGTTTTCCCATCTTTCTCCCAAGGAGCAGCTGGTATATTTGAACTGCCTAGCTTTGGGTGGGCAGTGCAACTCCTCACGCAGTAGGCTGCTAGAGTTCCTCTGTTTATCCCTTGTTGTTGGTCATTGTTTCTGGATCTGTTCAGTGAATTCAGCTAGTGCTGTAGATTGGATTTCTGTAAACAAATGTTGAGATGAAGTTTGATGTGTGAGATATTTCTTAGGAATAAGGACTTGTAAAAACAACGGGGAAGATGCAGAATTGGACAGATAGGGATTTATAAAGACTTGGTTGACCCATCAGGTATCTCTGCAGTGAATATTGCTGGTCAGAGTTATTCCATAACTGACTGAGATTTCCCAATCTTTGTAATGCCTTCTTTGTCCTTGAATGTGGTCTGCCTTTGTGAAAGGGCTTAAAGTGAGAAGGCTCTCTGCAGGCCCATTCTCAGATCTTTCACTGAAAGAGTACTTACTATCTTTTTTGTTTGT